TTTAATACTTATTCAATATTAACATTGTTTTCTTTCTCTGCTACCTTACTGGAGAGGTTTTCTGAGTTGGGCAAAGATTTCATTTTTAATATTTCCCCCAAAAATGCCAACCTCAGTTTTCAACATGGGGACAACTACAAGAGCAGCCGTTTGTTTCATACTGGCTGGAGAAGAGAAATACTTGGACACTATAAGCATTTTCATCCCTCAGAATATTTTCTCATACTTAATCTTTTCCTAACACGTTTAGGTTAAAATATGTCTTTTTATGCAAATTTTAAGGTCCATAAAACTATGTGTAGACATTTTCTTAGTCAGCTGGAGTTGGGTTGGTAATTGTCTTAAAAGACACAATGACATTTACGTCCTAACTCTAAAACATTAATGTAATAGTAAAGGTAAACACCATTCTTTTAATCACTGCTAATTAACTCTACTCTGTCATATTCTGTAAAAGATGAATTACTGAAAGCACATCCTGAATTTCAATTAATTTTGTGACTAATTGTTGTGTAATCCTGGGTAAATTTTGGTTCTCCAGTAAATAATTATGATTTACAAAACTAAAGGAAACTGTTGAAAGTGGAAAGTGAAAACAAAAATAAGTAGACATTAGAAATTATAAAATATTTCATGACTATCCCAGTACACAGCTGCCTTATTTACCTGAATTGTTAGAAAGTTAATCATAATTAACATTAATTGGGTATCCATGGTATGTAGCACTGCATTGCTTTCCTTTATGTTTTCAATATATTTATAATATTAGTGATGCTTTTAAAATTTCATTGTAAAACAAAAAAAATTCTTGTATTTTCTTCAATGTTATTGCTTGGGGAGTATTTATATTTGTCCCAGAGATGCTGCCATCATTTGGAAGAGTTTTAAAATTCCATGGAATCCATATAATCCACCACAAATTCTAGTTTTGTATGATTTTTTAACCTGCTGATGCTCTGGAATCAGATGTTCATTTGTCGAAGGCGAATTAGCCCTGGGGGGACACAAGAACATCTGGCATATCAGATGAAACAAGAT